AGTTTCACCTCTAAATCAGAAACTTGCAAGATAAAATCATTTAAGTGCTGAAGAGCCCTTGTTCCATTTATAGCTCCTGTGTTATTTCTGAAAAGAGCCCTAGTGGCATTGTGTTCAAGTGCTCAGCTGTTAATTGCAAGGTGGTTGATTCAAACCCACCACTGTTCCACGGGAGAAAGATGTAGTGGTCTGCATCCATGAAGATTACTGCCTTAGAAATCCTATGGGGCAGCTCTACTCTGTCCTATAGGGTCACTGTGAGGTGGAATTGACTCAGTGGCAGTTTTTATTTGGGGATGGGGTGGGGAGTGGAGTGCTATTCCTGAAGGTTCCAGGAGAACTTTATTGCCTTCTGTGCCAGATATGCACCTGTTGTTTCTCAGCCCCAAGCCCAACACTCTTCTGTACTGTTTGTGACTGAGAGTTGTGAACTACATTTCCTAGACTCCCTTGATGCTGTTTTCTTGTTCCATTTCACCAATGGGGACTGAAAGGCGGGAAGAAGGAATAAGCTCTCTGATGCTTATCCAAAAGGTTGGAGATACAAGTCCACGCAACCTCAGAAGAAAGATCAGGTGATCTCCTTCTGAAAAACCAGCCACCAATAATCCTGGAGCACAGCTGTATTCTGACACATATGGGGTCACCATAAGTAAAGATCAATGTGATGGCAACTTTTTTTTTGAAATTCCTACTTCGGGTTTCTGTCCTGATCCCTTCAACATCAGGAGATAGCTGTGGCACAGGCATCTTTAATACCATGACCTCATGGTGCCCTCGTAGGGTCCCTGCAATAGCCACATAATGGCTCCCCACCTGTGCTCCTCCGGCAACACTACTTTTGCCCTTTAGTTCCCCCAGTTCTAGGGCTCATAGGTATCTCCTGCAGTTACCAATCTCTGGGTTACCTCCTGTCATGGACTGAATTGTCTCAAAATATATGTGTCAACTTGGCTGGGTCATGATTCTCAGTAGTTTGGCAGCTACATAATAATATAACTTGGCAATTATGTAATGACGTAATCATCCCCCAAGATGTGATTGGCCCATTAGTTATAAAGGGATTAGGGGGGATGCAACACCCTTACTCAGGTTACAGCCCTGATTTGATATAAGGAGAGTTTCCCTGGGGGCCTGTCTACTACTGAGAAAGAAAGGTTGGGGTGGTGTGTGTCCTTTGGAGCCGAGGTCCCTGTGTTGAGAACCTCCTAGACCCAGGAGAAGATTAATGCCAGAACACATAGAGATCTCCATGGAATGCTGGGCTGTCAAATGTTGAAAAGAGACAAGAACCTTCCCCCAGGGCCAACAGAGAAAGAAAGTCTTCCCCTAGAGCTGGTGCCCTGAACTCAGACTTCTAGTCTCCTGAAATGTGGGGAAAAAAAAAAAAAAAAATTCTGTCTGTTAAAGACTCTCACTTGTCTTATTCTTGTTATAGCAGCAAGAGATGACTAAGATACTTGTGATCCCCATTTTGCTCTTCCAGCCTCCTGACTCCCATGTACCTATTTCCCTGCATCATATTCCCTCTGTTTGAAATACCAAACTTGGCTTCTGTTTTCCTATTAGCTGCTCCACCTTCTAAATGAGCCTCCTCAAAGCACTCACTCCATCAATCAATCTCAGTGAACTTGTAAGGACCACCTCCTTGCAAGAAAATGATCACCTACTTTATTTAGGAAAACAAAGGGGGAGAGCAGTGTCTTTGGGGCACAAGCATGGGATGCCTCAGCTAAAGGTTAATTTTCTTTTTGAAGAGCTTTTGTTCCTTTTTGAAAGAATGAGCTCATGAATGCAGTTTTCTACTTGGTTTCCACAACTTTAATTTGCTCTGGAAAGCTCAGGAGGAGGTGTTGTGTTGAATAGTCCAATTGCTCAGATTTACTTCAAAACATACAGGCATGCCTCATGCTTCACAGATATTGCATTTTTTTACAAATTGAAGGTTTGTGGAAACCCTGTGTTGAGCAAGTTTATCAGCACCACTTTTCCAACAGTACGTGCTCACGTCATTTCTCTGTGTCACATTTTGGTCATTCTCACAATATTTCAAACTTTTTCTAGTGCTATTGCATACTTCATAGATTACAGGATAGTGTAAACATAACTTCTGCATGCACTGGGAAACCAAAACATGCATGTGACTGGTTTTACTGTGATATTCGCTTTATTGAGGTAGTCTGGAACCTAACCCACAGTATTTCTGAGGTCTGCCTGTATCCACCTAGAAGGCCAAGGTTAGGGCATCATCACAGAGCTAACTGTTCTTATTGAGTGGGACCATGTGGTTCCCATACCCATGCAGCCCAGTGAGCCCCAACGTGGCTGGATTTGTCCCAGGTGGGGCCTGTATATCTGACACTCACTTGGCAGCTCTCCCAAGGCCAAACAGCTGGTCCTTCTGTATGAATCACAGTCTCTCTCTTTTCCTCAGTAGAGAAGGAATCATTTCTATTTTATTCTCCCCACAAATAATTCTGGATGCAAAAGTTATTGCCTCCATGTGACAAAGACTGTCAAGTACTCAGATATGGTGGCCTCAATTTATTGTGGCTAGCACAGCACATGTGTTTCCTGCTACGTTAATGCTTGTGAATAACCCCCATTGGACAGATGGGGAAGAGGAGTCTGTTTTGTAACTTACTGCAAATGTAACTGTCCATGTGGGATTTCTTTTACAGGTGGAGGAGAATTCACAATAATGAAAAAGACTGTATTTCTCTTAAAACTCCAAGTTGAATTACAGAGGAAGGTTGTAGGATTCCCAGCAACAGAGGGAGGGATGGCCATCAAAAACAAGTCAGATTGGGGATTATTTAAAAGTACTTATAACATAGAGAAGAATGGATTAGAGAATCTATCACTAATATGGGGTGAATATTCCACAAGGGATGCAGCCCTGGAGGGGCAGAAGAAAATACCGACCATACTTTTTTTTATCTCATCAAATGTCAACTTGTGAGTGTGTTTGCTGATTGCATACTATATTCAAGCTGTAATATATTGCTGTATTTGTTATTGCCTGCTGTCATGTTGGTCCCCCAGCCATGATATGTCCATGCACAACAGAATGAAATGTTGCCCAGTCCTGTGCAATCCCTATGATTGATTTCAGATCAGACCATTGTAATTCATAGTGGTTTTCATTGGCTGATTTTTCAGAAGTAGATCACCAGGCCTTTCATCCTAGCCTGTCTTAGTCTGTAAGTTCTGTTGAAACCTGTTCAGCACTGTAGCAAAGCACAAGCTTTTGCTGACAAGTGGGTGGTGGCCGTGCATGAGGTGCGCTGGCCAGGAACTGAACCCTGGTGTCCTGCACGGCAGGTGAGAATTCTACCACTGAACCTCCAATGCAATAGAATGACTGTATTAGTGGACCTAATTCTTCATATCTTCCTGTATCTAAGCTCTTTGTCATGTTGTAAACAGATCAAGAAATGAAATAAGATCACTGGGCATTCACATCCAGAAATTCTTTCTTAAACAGAAACGCAACATTAGTAATAGTATTATTATCAAAATCTTTAGACTGATGTACCAAAATTAAAAATGTTTTAGTGGTTAAAGCTGTAGTATTAAAGAACCCACTAGGTTCCATACCTTTTAAAGTAGTTTGATTAGTTTGATGAAAGGAAACTTGACTCTCTAACTCTGTATTATAGAATCAGCATGTGGCTGCTGCTTCACTCACCTCCAAAGTAAATGTCATCTGCTGGGGCCATGTCACCCTCCACTAGCTCCATTGGTACACATGGTTTAGCTACTATGGGGATGACCTTTTGCCATTTGCAATATGATCAAAGGAGTGGCCTTGGCTAGCTCTTTGACAAGCAGTCTAAAGTCATCTTGCCACTGAAGGAAGTTTCCAAATCCTGGTGTACTCATGAGCTCTCCACATTCCAGGGAAGGAAGAGTCATTGATCTGTTGTCATTAGGTGCCATCGAGTCGGCTCCAACTCATAGTAACCCCATGCACAACAGAATAAAACACTGCCTGATCCTGTGCCATCCTCACAGCTGCTGCTATGCTTGAACCCTTTGTTGCAGCCACTGTGTCAGTCCATCTTGTTGAGAGTCCTCCTCTACAAGTCCAACTTCCCCTTCTAGAGAGAAGGAGACTGAAGGCCAGGGAGTGTGGGGCAGGGTGTCACAGTTAATTATTCAGGGTCACAGTTGACTATTTGCAGATCTAGGACTCGAGGTAGGTACTCTACATCTTCCATCCACTACCTAACCAAAAGCCAGGTGCCACGGAGAGGACTGTGACACATGGTGACCCCACATGTGTCAAAGTAGAACATGCCGCATAAGGTTTTCAATGGCTGATTTTTTGAAAGTAGAGGGCCAGGCCTTTCTTCTGAGTCACCTCTGAGCGGACTTGAACCTCCTACCTTTGGGTTACCTTTGAGTGTGCCAACTGTTTACACACCTCCTGGACTCCACTTAATATCATGGATGCTCAATAAGTGGAAAACAACCACTTCCCATCTACATGAATAATGAATCCTCCTTAAAATTCACCTGCCTGGAATTTTAAGACTAAACCTGGATTTAGAGATTCCTAGGACCAAATCAAAGGCACCCCAGAAATGCAACAGTTAAGTGCTCAGCTGTTAAACAAAAGGTTGACAGTTTTTACCCACTCAAACCTACAGCCAAGAAAACACTACCAGCAATTCTACTCTGTCACATGAGGTAGCTATATGTGAGAATCAACTCCATGGCACCCCCACCACCACCACCACCAAGACCAAGCCAAATTCAGTTACATGTGGGAATTGCTGAGTCTCTGCCTTTCCAATCCTTTAACACCTACCCCTGAGACCAACAGACTCTACTGCAGCTGACAGCCCTTGCACAGCCCCTGTTTTGTCTGCAGCAGGCAGCGATGGGGTGAAGCGAGTAGTGGTTGTTCTGCAAAGCAGGGGACAGATCAGGACTTCGCCCTGCTCCTGCGGGTGGGGAGGTGGCTGGGCAGGCCAGAAAGCCTTGGGACTCACCGCGGCCCACCACCATGAGTGGGGAATGCTGGTGAAGTTGGTGCCAGGCACGTCGTGCTCCACGGAGTAGACGGCCGCTGAGAAGGCGAAGATGCCCATGGTGATGAAGAGCAGCAGGCAGCCCACCTGCTGGTAGCACTGGCGCAGTGTGAAGCCAAAGGCACGCAGCCCGGTGGAGTGGCGGGCCAGCTTGAGGATGCGGAAAATGCGCATGAGGCGCATGATGCGTAGCACTTGGCCCACCTTGCCCACGCGGCCCACTGTCTCCAGGTCGTGCTCCCGCCCCGAGCCCTGACCATCGTCACCCACGACCGCCTCCAGCAGCAGCTGCAGGTAGAGTGGCAGGATGGCCACTAGGTCGACCAGGTTAAGGGCGCCACGCGCAAAGCGCCGCAGATCGGGCGTGGAGGCCAGGCGCAGCAGGTACTCGAGTGTGAAGAAAGCGATGCACAGCAGCTCCACGTGCTCTAGCAGAGGCCGTGGGTCACCACCGCCCCCTGCGCCCCGCGTTCCCCGCGGCAGCTGCATCTCCTCCACCGTGTTGAGCGCCAGCGCCACCACGGACACCAGCACGAAGAGGCTGGAGGCCACCCCGATGGCCTTGGCGGCCACCGACGAGAAAGGCTTTTCCAAAAGGTTCCAGAGGCGTCGCCGCTGCGGGCCATAGAAACGCATGTGGCGGAAGAGCTCCTCTCCCTCCTCGGCCTGCGCCTGGGCGCGCAGCTCGCGCTGAATCTTGAGCTGCTCTGCCAGCTCGTCGCGCCTTTCCTCGAAGCAGATGCGGCAGCAGCGCGGTGTGTACTTCAGTCGCACGCCCCAGTAGCCCAGCTCCTCCAGGAAGCTACGGGGGCACAGCTCATCTCGCACCAGCAGCACACCCGATGCGTAGAAGTTGTAGACTAGCTGGAAGACAGCTGGGTCGCGGTCGAAGAAGTACTCGTCCGTGCGCGCCTCGTAGTCGTCACACAGGCCCAGCTGACGGCTGCGGCTGGTGGAGGTGGCCAGGCGGCCCAGGCGCGTCTTGGGGTAGCAGGCCAGCTGGGTGTAGTCCAGGTAGTAGCTTTGGCCACCCACGTTCACCTTCAGGGTAGAGGATAGGGATGGAATGTCAGCAAGGTCATCTTGGGTGCTGTTGGTCTCCTCGGCCAGCTCATCCTTCCATGGGTCCTCCTCAGCTCCATCCTCGTCCTCCTCAATGTAGTAGTTGTAGTTCCCTTCGGTCCACGGGGGGATGCTGGCCTGGGAGCCAGAGCGACCACCCATCGAGCAGATGCTCCTGCGGTGGTGGCTGCCCCCTGTGTGGGTCGCATCCTCAGTCTCCACGGTGTTCCAGGGCTTGTAGCCCCAAGACCGCCTTCTCTCACTCTGCTTCAGCATGGCTGGGGTGCTTTTCTTTCCTGGCTGGCCTGGGATCCCTGCAGAGGAGCGTGGATCAACTCTGCCTGTACTCTGCCTGTACCAGCCCTGGGAGCTGACCCCCAAGCCCTGGCCAGCCCCTTAAGTCTAGGGTCTAGACACAGGAAGACGGTGCTGACTGACTGCTCTAATCTTGCTGATAGGAAGAAGCAAGTGTTAGCAGGGATTTAGAGCCTCTTAGCCTCTTTCCTTCCCCCCTCCTCTGTGACGTCCAGGATGATTATGTGGTTTGAAATCTGTAGATAATCAGAAGGCCGAGATTATTGCTAATAAAAATGTCTGCTGGCCCTGCCCTTAGGAAGTGTTCTGTGTACATGTGTTGAGATGCAAGCTGCCTGGGTCTTCAGCTTAATGGTTGAGAATGTAGCCTGTGCCCTAACCAAAACCAAACCAGTTGCCAACAGTTGGCTCAGACTCAAGGCAACCCATGTGTTTCTGAGTAGAACTGCACTTCATGGGGTTTTCACGGCTGTGACCTGTTGGAAGCAGATTGCCAGGCCTTTCCTCTGAGGTGCCTCTGGGTGGGTCTACCTACCAAGCTTTCAGTTAACAGCCAGTTGCTGTTGAGTCAACTCCGACTCATGGCCACCCCACGTGTGTCAGAGTAACACTGTGCTCCACTAGGTTCTCCATGGCTGAGTTTTCGGAAGTAGATCGCCAGGCCTTTCATTATCAGGGAAAAGAAACAGCAGTGTACTGGTTATAAACTGGCCCAGGACAAATCAGCATAACTCTTTGTTTTGATCATATCAGACCCCAAACAATATCCCTCCTGTCCATTCACAGGGCCAACTTTATTCAAATGAATTCTACTTATCAGCCCTGTTCTGGAGTCTAGTCTGATCCTTAAGTCAGTCTCTTTCTCTTTCTTACTCTCTTTAAAGGATAAGGGCAGGTTTCAAGGTAGACTCTCAGGACTGATCTGAAGTCATCTTAATTTCTCAGGAATTCCATAACAAGATACAGTCATGCATTGCTTAACATCCACAATATGTTCTGTGAAATAGGATGTTATGTGATTTGGACATTGTGTGAATACCATATTATATAACAAGCATATTATCAACTAACTTCTCTGTCAGTTTATCATTTTGTGGTGGCTTGTATGTTGCTATGATACTGGAAGCTATGCTATCAGTATTTCAAATATCAGCGAAGTCACACATGGTAGACAGGTTTCACTGGAACTTCCAGACTAAGACAGACTAGGAAGAAAGTCTTGGTGATCAACTTTTAAAAATCAGCCAGTGAAACCCTGTGGATCATAACAGAATATGGTCACAAAAGATCAAGTGCTGGAAGATGAGCCCCTGGGTTGAAAGACACTCAAAGAACACAGTGGCTGCAACAATGGACTTGAGCATACCAATGATCTTGAAGATAGCACGGGACCTGGCAGTGTTTCATTCTGTTGTGCATGGGGTCTCCATGAGTCAGAGCTGACACTATGGAAACTAGTCCTAAAAGAGAGGGAAAGAAGAAGAGAGAAGGAGAGGGAGACAGTAAACTTTGGCACGTACTTGGGAAGTTGCATTTTCTTTAAGGCCTTTGAAGTCCCAGTCAGTAAATTATGAAGATTATAAAGTGAAAAGTCAGATGAGCATCTGGATAAACACTCCAGCCAAAACAAAGAGATAAAAAAACATAATCTCTCCAACCTCCAATAAAGGAAAAAAGTAGTCCTGTGCAAGCTCAAAGACTGTGCCGCCTGGTAAATTTCCTCTAGTGATTGAATGACTTAGGTATCTGTTTACCTCCTTCTGTGCAAACATGCCTATCTAGTTATAGGTGAAATGCAGAATGAATGGGAACAGCGATTGATTGCAAAGTGTCTTAGTCAGTTGGAATTTGTGCTGACTGAATTAAAGTTGTCTGTGAGTTTGGGAAAAGGAAGAGTGAGTGATGGCAGATTAGGCTGTAAGCAAACATTCTTTGCCTCGATAACTTGTAATCAGACAAATAGGGAGGGGTGCAGCCATTTTCCAATGGCACAATGATCCATGCTAACACCCTTTTTAAAAGATGAGGAACCCGAGACTCAGAGACACAGGCTTTCTTGTCTGATGTGGCTCAGCGAGGGGCTGGCGGAGCTGGATCCAGGATCTGGACTGCATCCACCTGCCACTCGGCACTTTTCTCTCCTTTGGGCTACACTGGCATAACATGCAAACCCTAACCATGTGTCCTTGACTTAGAATACCTTTGCTCTGATTCTGATCTTGCTAAACACATAGTCTTTCAACATGGCTCTTTTTGCTTTTCTGGCCCCAGTTGATCGCAACAGATCTTGTCATAAGCTCTGCCAATTTAGAAGCGAATGCAATACAATTTAACATAACTGGGTATTCTAGTGCATACACAGGCACAGTAGTGTTTCAGTAGTAGAATTCTTGCCTTCCATTCGGGGGCCCTAGGTTTGATTTCCAGCCAGTGCGCCTCATGTACAACCACCACCTGTCTCTCAGTGGAGACTTGCATGCTGCTGTGATGCTGAACAGGTTTCAGTATAGAATCCAGACTAAGAGAGACTAGGAAGAGAGGCCTGGTGAGCTATCTCTGAAAGTCAGCCAGTGAGAACCCTATGGCTCACAGTGGTTGAATCCTCAATCAATCAGGGGGATGATTCAGGACTGGGAAGCATTTTGTTCCATTGTGCATGAGGTCTCCATGAGCCAGGGGCCTCTATGAGCCAGGGGCTAACATGAGCCAGGGGTTGACGTGAGCCAGGGGTTGACGTGAGCCAGGGGTTGACAGCTAACAACAATGATTGCATGCAAGGCATTGTGCTACTTTCAATCTGAGAATGATCTAAGTGGTCATCTAGGTAAGGAAATTGAGATGTCAGATGGGTTAGGTGACTTGTCCAAGGTCTCATAGATAGATGTGTTAGTAGTAGCATGCCATAGTCTAGAACCCTGTTCTCTAACTCCAGCGCTCTATCCTTCTAACTTGACATTGTTTCACCATCATTGCATGTATCTTTCCTATTCAAGTCATGTCTGTGTGCAACAAGCAAGTTGTAGATTTGGAAGGAATGTTTCTCAGTAACGTAATACCAGATCCTAGTATTTAACAGAGAGCCAGGATCAGTTGTCCAGAAAAATTGCCTTTACTGATCGGATTTCCTGGGAAACTTCTCAATCTTCCATTCAGTATTGTCTAAAGGAGCTCTGGTGGCACAGTTTCTAAGACATTTGACTGCTAATCAGAAGGTTGGTGGTTCAAAACCACCAGCTGCTCCATGGAAGGAAGATAGAGCAATCTACTTCTGTAAAGATTTAGTGCCTCAGAAACCCAGTGGGGGTCACTATGAGTCAGAATTGTCTCAATAGCAGTGAGTTTGTTTTTTGGTTTTGAGGGAGTCACAGGGTGGCACAGTGGTTAAGTGCTAGACTACTAACTGAAAGGTTGGCAGTTTGAGTCCACCCAGAGGCACCTCGGAAGAAAGGCCTTTCTTTGGTGATTTGCTCCCCAAAAGTCATAGCCTTGGAAACTCTATAGAGTTCCACTCTACAACATATGGGGCTGCCATTAGTCAAAATCAACTTGACTGCAGCTTGTTCGGTGTTTTGGCTTCTTCTGATTATAAGGAGTTCTGGTGGCACAGTAGTTAAGCACTCAGCTGCTAACAGAAAGGTTGGCGGTTTGAGCCCACCAGCCATTCCTTGGGAAAAAAATGTAGCTGTCTGCTTCTGTGAAGATTACAGCCTTGGAAACCCTAGTGAGCAGTTCTCCTCTATCCTATATGGTCATTATGAATTGGAATCAACTTGACAGTAGTGGGTAGTCACAATTGTATTTTGAATACCTTCCAAAAACAACGTCTTCTCCTTTGCCCACAGAACCTTGCTTATTCTCCAATGAGGACTGACCCTGTCATCCTTTACAAAAGTTAGCCTTGTATGACTTGATGTAGTCATGTGTATAACTTTGATTTTCCAGGGTTCCCTCTGGATCTCTGTCTCTTGCTGTCTGTTCGACCCCCTCCACTTTGAGCAAAGATACTCTCCAGAGGAGCAGCAGAGATGCTATGAGCCCTGCAGTCAATACAGAGAGAAATTGGTGGGAGGAAATGCTTTCACCTTAGAGGTGTTTTACCCAACCTCAAAATTTGTATTTGAGAGGATATACACTGGGAGAGGGAGCTCTGCCAGGGAATACGGACCATCTGTGCCTAGAGTCTAGGACTGCAAAGACTGGGGCTCCCTGGAGTAAGGGTGACGATGGAGCCAGATGATGCTCTGGGGATATTGGCAGATTTAGAAAGTGACATCTGTGAAACCTAGTAAGAATATAAGGAATGTGCTGGAACAGATGGTACATGAAGAATCTTGGAATAGAACCATTCTCTGAATATGTTTAATGATTAATAAATGTGGCAAAAAGAAAGAATTACACATGATTGATGAGGACTCAATGATATTATTGAAATGTCCTATATAGTTTTACTCCAAAGGCTGTTTTTTTTTTTTTTTTTTTTGTATAAGTCAATGGTTACCAGTTATGTCAAAATTTTGTAAATACTATCTGAGCTGCTTTCCAAAACATAATGTCTTTGTACTGCAAAGGCTATTCACAAGTCAGAATAGAAGAGTTAGACCCAAGGTGATAAATGCATGTGTATGGGAATTATAATCACTGTAATAAAGCATAAATAATAGATTTGAAATAAATATATTTATGGTTGTCTTAGTTATCTAGTGCTGCTAAAACAGCACTATAACAAACAGAGGCTTATTTTCTCACAGTTTAGGAGGTTAGAAGTCCAAATTCAGGGTGCTGGCTCTAGGAGAAGGGTTTCTTATTCTTTTGGTGCTGAAGGAATGTCCTTGTCTCTTTAATTTCTATTCCTGGGTGATCTTCATGTGGCGTGGCATCAGTCTTCCCCTGGGTCTAGGAGTTTCTCAGCTCAGGGACCCCAGGTCCAAAGGATGTACTCCACTTCCAGCCCTTCTTTCTGG